CCTGCCTGGAGGGTCAGGAAACAACCCTGAGCACAGAGGTGGAAAGCGGAAACGCTGAAGCCTGGCTAGACTAATGCAATCAAGGCATTCTTCCCTTGGCCCCCTGCGCTCTGAGGACGGGCTTCCTCTGTGGGACCCCAGCGGCTCCTGGCTTAGAGCTCTGAGCTTAGAGCCACATCAATGGCAGCAACAGGTCCAACCTGAGAGGCTGGTCTCAAAGGACACCGGTTCCCTAGGTTAGGGCCAGAGGTTTTTTAGGGAGACCTGGAGGGTCAACTCAGTCTATATCTTGGCCCTAGGGAGCCTGTATTAGTTGCCTAAAAATTGCAATTTAAAGGAGATTCTTTCATTATTGTATTATTATCCGTTGTTAGAGGGTTTGTGCTTGCTGGATAGAAACAGAGAGAGAGAGGCAGAAAGTGAGAAGGGATCCCCAAGGGGGAATAGTCACACCACAATCCCTTCTCTTCCATTTCTCCCTCCTGTCAAGATTTTGGGCACACATGTACACATGCCCAGCATGTTTTTCAAGCCGTCTAGGTCCAGAACTGAACCATGCAGTCAGCTGTGTGGGATCCAATGACCTTAACCACCACACCATTGTCTGGCCCTAAAGGAGATTCTTAACTATCCACTCCAGCTGGTCATTGCTTCCTAAACGGACAGTTGGTTACCATTGTAGGATATGTCCTGAGAACCCTTAAGGAAAGATATAGGATTTTGTGAATTTCACTGGGCATTTCTAGCCCTCAGGCTCTAACTTAGCACACAGTCAGGTGGACAGGAGAAATACTATAGCAAATAGGCCATAAGTTGTCTAGATGCTTAACGGTAACACCAGTAAAAGCTCATGTCTTGTCCTCCTTCCTCTCTACTCCCCTCTACCCCCAGGCCTGGAAGCATCTTCCTGAAATCTGGCTTAACTCAGCAGTCAGGATTAGCACAAGCAACTTCCCTTCATTGGCCTCTGTGGAACACAGGGAGACCCCATCAAGTACCCCAGGGACAAGGGTCATTTCTAACATACCTGAGTTTTGAGCCCCCTCCCATCTGGCGGTCCCTTTCTCTCCACATCTCCAACTCCCTGAACTCAAGACTTCCAGGAAACTTTTACCCTCTGGCCCATGACCGGAGGATATGACAAAGAGCTCAATAATAATGAACTCAGTAGACTAGGGGTGATGTTGCAAGCCACGACCTTGGAGGAGACCAGCTGAGGCAGGTAGGAATGCAGAGGGCCTCACCATGAGTGGCCGTGGCCCTTTAAATCCCCACCTCCTCCCCGTCTGATCCCAGGAGCCCAGGTAAATGAGCTTTCATGTCTCAGACTTGACAGGCTGGGGCAGGCCCTGGAGTGGTTTGGCTTCACAGGAGGGAAATGTCAATTGCTTCATTTGGGCCCCCCACACACTCCCTGACCAAGTCTTGGAGCTGTTATGCAGCTCAGTGGGCCTCTCTTCAGGGGCACTGGTCATTCCCAAGTGGGGATCCAGCCTCCCCAGAACTTCAGGGCCCCAGCACAGGCTTTGGAACTTCAGAACTCAATGTGTTCAGAGACAGTAGCTGGAAGTAGAGCCCAAGGCTAGATTAGGGTCTGACCAAGGAGAAAGGGAGCTGGGATGCTGTTCATGCACCTCAGCCTCCCCTCTATGCACCCCTGTCCTCTCTCCCTCCCACCTACACTCCTGCTTCAGAGCACTCATCTCCCCTGGAGCCTTGGTTCATTAGAACTTATGCTTAGGAAGTGGCTGCTAAGGTCATCCTAGACTCCTGTTTCTCTCTGCCCACACCAATCTTTCAGGGAATTCTGTTAGTTCTCTCTTCCAAAAGTAAACAGAATCCTCTTCCACCCTTCTGGCTGAGCCTCCCTTTCCCTAACTTCAGCACCAGCTTCCCGACCTGTCCGTAGCCAAGTCCTAACACAACAGGTTATGTTCTTCCCCTGCTCAAGAGCCTCCACTACCTCCCCATTTCACTCGAGGCCAAAGCCAAAGCTGAGACATAGGAGACCCCACATGGTCTAAACTCCCCCATCCAGCGCCCACGTTCCCTTTCTGCCTCCACTATTACAACCCCTTCCTGCTGTCACTCCAGCCATTTGCCTCCAAACGGCCAGGACTGTCCTTAGGGCTTTTGCTCCAGCAGCTCCTGCTGCCCGGAGTGCTCTTTGCCCGTCCATCTGTCCATCCGTTCCAAGTCTCAGTGAGGCCTATTCTGACCATTCTATTTAAAATGACAGCCCACTTCCCTGCTCCATCCCTGCCCTCCCCCTTTTCCTAATCCCACCAATCCTACCTTATCAGGGGTTATTTATCTATTTATTTATTTACTTAATTTTATTTGCCAGAGGGCACATGTGTTCGCTGGAAAGAGACAGAAAGAGAAAGGAAAAGTGAAAAAGTCCCTCCTCCCCAAGTGGGAAATGGTCATACTGTCTATTTCTCCCTCCTTTCAGGATCCTGAGCATGTATGCACATACACCTGGAGTGTTTCTCAAGCTGCCAGTTTGGGGACTCAAGCCACGTGGTCAGCCATGTGAACCACCTGAACCACCAGGCCATGGTCTGGCCCCTAATTTTTATTTTTATTTTGCAACATTTACCACCTTTTAGCCAACTATATATTTAACCTATTTACCATATTTATCTTGTGTCTTTCCCCATTAAAAGGTAACATCAAGAAGGCAGAGATTCGGGGCTATTTTGCTCACTATTCTTTTCCAACTGCCTGGCACAGAGAGGTGCTCATACTTGTAGAGTGAACAGATTCGCTGTGAAGTGCAAATAAGCAAATAAGCAAGAGTTGAGTGGGTCCCCATGCCTTCTAGCTGCAGCTTTACTCTCAGCAAAAAAAGGAATATTACTGGTAGTGGCAATGCACACACTGGCCAGCTATGGAGGGGAGTCTTTTTTGAGGCACCTTCCCCCAGATTACAGAAATGTCACCCATATAGACAGTATCCTTTGCCTGCTCATCAGTCACTCCTGCCAATGTCTCAAACAGGGTGCGGGAGTGGTATTAAAAGCTGCTGTCTCCATTATCCATGCATCCATCAAGCCCAAATCATCCAGCTTGCCGAGGAGCTCAGCCAAGATCTGAGCAAATGGAGCTACGGAACAATGGAAGGCGGAAAAGAAGGACAGGGGAGAAGTCAAGAGAGGCTAAGAGAGCCCAGTCCAGGCTGTGGATCTCGGGGTTGGAAGAAGGGGCGCCTGGTGACTAAGGCTCAGGCACCTGAATGCAGTGAGTCATGACTGAGTCCTCGTCTATGGGACAGGGTGGACTCCAGGAATGGCCCTGGGGATTTGCCACGTAACAAAAGCTGGCATGGCCTGTACTCCTGCTCAACTGCCCCCCTGTCCAGACAATCAGTCAGTCTTCCATGCCCCTCTGTGGGAACCAGAGAGAGGTGAGCGTCTTATGCTACTGAGGCACGGACAGAGGCCCAGCCCCAGGAGGGGCCATCAGTAGGCAGGACAGAAGCCAGGGGCTGTCAGCTTGGGAGACGCTATTCCATACCCTTTACTCCACCTCACCCCTGCCTACCTCATTGGAAGGTTCACCCAACAGACAACATGCGCATTAGCTTGGGGCTGAGATCTGGGAGAAATCAGACAGTCACCCTAACTGCTAGGTAATGTTTACTGAGCATCTGCAGTGTGCCAGGCACCATTCTAGGCTCTTACATGTATTAATTTGTTTTCTACCCACCACCTCTCTGTGGGGTAGACGCTTATTTATCCTTACTCAGTGGATGAAGAAGGTGAGGCATACTTTCAACTCAGTCCCAGGTAGTACCTGGTGATTAGAGCCCAGGTAGGTTTGCTCCAGCACTCACATTCATAACCAATACCTAGGACTGAAGATGAACCCATGGCCTAAGTCGCCTGACTCTACCCCTGCTAACCCTAGATCAGAGCCCACCAGATCCTGGACTTCATGTCTCCCAGACCCAGTCAAGACCCAGTACATGAAAACTCTTATTTGTACCTTTGTTCCAAACCTCGGATCACCCAGGTTGGCTGGGGTCCCCAGAGGGGACACTGATATGTAGAAACAGCCACAACAGATACTACCAGGTGCCTCTTCAAGCATTTTCTGTATTGACAGTCTAGTGTAGGCACAGACAGAGACAGAGCTGACCTCCAGTCCTTTCATCGCAGAGGCTGGAGGTGGTACCTCTTCAAGCATTTTCTGTATTGACAGTCTAGTGTAGGCACAGACGGAGACAGAACTGGCCTCCAGTCCTTTCATCGCAGAGGCTGGAGGTGGTACCTCTTCAAGCATTTTCTGTATTGACAGTCTAGTGTAGGCACAGACGGAGACAGAACTGGCCTCCAGTCCTTTCATCGCAGAGGCTGGAGGTTACCAGCATGGAACTGTTCTGAATGAGAGAAGGGCAGCTAGGGGGCCTGGAGAGAGGCAAGGCCTTGAGGAGCTGATGAGATTAAGAAAGGGTATGATAATTTCCCCTCACCAAGGAAGGGCATCCCCCACCCTGAGCTCAGGGTCTGGGCACCTCAGGGGCTATGGCTCCTTCTGTTGTGTCTCCCAAGGGAACTCCTGAATGGCGAGCCCGTCTGTACAGCCCAGTGCAGCCTGC